TATAAAAGAAAGGACCCCAAATCAACCACTCGCAACAGAGAATATGTAATTTCAATTTCTTAGTTAACTTTAAAATATTTCTTCTTAGTATTCGTGTGCTTGCGTTCCTTGGAGGCGTTCTGATTCTTTCCCATTGTAATCTTCATCAATAAAACACTCATTTTTAAAACTTTGTCTCAAGAGGTTTATTCTTTACACAATCGTCTGAACATTTATTTTAATTGTTAGCGACAACCCGCACGAAACACAGTCTAATGACTCTGAACCCACCGAATATAGATTATGGTCCTGTTTGAGCCACCTTTTTGTAGAATGAGAATGGAATATCTAGTCGTTATTAGGGCCCACACAAAAGATATAAATTTTAAATTTAAATGTCAATGTGATGAATAATGGTCATATTTTTCATTTTAATGAAATAAAAAGGTAGCCCAAACGGGGGCTAAAGCATTATTATTTTATACCGTTGGTTAAAATATGATAAATGACCATATTAATTTAAATTAAATATTGATTGACCTAATGCTTGATAAAGATTAGATACAATTAAGAACTCATTTCGTGTAGCTAAAAAATCCTTTTTTTTTTTTTTTTCATAAATTTGATAAATATAGATTAAATATGTGATTGAAAAATTACAAATCCTATAAATAAATATGATTAACATTTATGAATTTCATGAAATATGAGATTAAAATTAATTGTTAATTTTAATTTAAATTAAGTTATATGTACATTATTGTTGACATTCTCCCTTACATATTAAAATTTGGACAGTGATGTGAAAGAATATTGTAAAAATTAATGACTATGATGGATACCACGTGTTCGGATATTAAACTTAATGTAAACAAGAATGTACATGTAGCATGATTAATTCTTTTTCACACTAAACGTCTATTCCACAGTCTACATTGTCTAATCACTTGAAAAATGTTAAGAATCATGATACGCGTGTAGATTTTTCTCATAGAATTGATTCACATATGACGCATGACAAAACATCATTGAAAATGGGAAAAGAAAGAAAAAATAGACAGACAGGATGCTGCCACAGCAATACTATGTAGGAAACCTTTGAAACTTTCACCGTATGTAGGGAATAACTCAATTTTCAAAAAATGACCAAATACATGTACAAATGGATTTGTCGGATGAATTTACAGAATGTCAAATGACAATATTTCAATATTTCATTGGACCATACTATTTGTATATCGAGATTGACACCCCGATGACAGACCCCCCGTCTGTACATCGGGGTGTCAATCCCGGTGTACAAATGGCATTTTTCTGTTTAATTAGAGGGGTCTGTACATCGGGGTGTCAATCCCAATGTACAAATAGCATTTTTCTATTTAATTAGAGTTTGAACAAAGAAAAAGTTAAAAAAATTCAATAAGGTGCTGCCATTTCAGTACCCGTAGACGACACCGTCCAATTCATCTGTACAAACAACTTTATTTTAATATAAAAATTGAAATTTCAAAATTCAAGATTCATCAACGGCGGTTCCAATTCACGACGTCTGTCCATCAAAAGTTGAACATTTGAAGTTACGTTGGGGCCCGCTTTTAAATTTTCAGTCTTCAACACCCAACCCCCACATAAAAGAAGCCTGCAAGGTGTCTCTCTGCTCAAATCCAGCTTCACTACGTAACGTAACTCACCCACTGTCCTAATTTAACCTCTTAGATTTTCGCCACCGCATCAACGATGGAGACATCTGGCCCAATCCGCCTGCTACGTTCACACCTCTCATTGGACCATAGTACATAAAACCACCTCAATTTCCCCTTCTACCCAACTTCGGTACACGTGTCCCTGAACTAAACCCCATGGTCTTTATAAAAAATAAATTGCACATTGTAGTCACTACTCTTTAGTGCCTATGTCCTTCTTCTCTCCAAGTTTTAAATTCACACTTTAGTCTCTTTTGTTTAGAGAAAAATATGTTTTGGAATAGTAAGTTTTTAAAGAAAATATAGTTAAAAGATAATGAAAGATTTTGAGTTTACGTATAAAGTTATTTTATGGTAGAATGTGTGATTGAAAATAATTTTGAAGACCAAACAGGGGTTAAATATCCTTAGTGAATTTCAACTTTTTTTGTCTCTCGATTTTACTTGGAAACTTTTGACACTTATAAAATGGTACTTGCATTTGGTCTACATGACATTCGTTGTGAAATTTGCCAAAATTAGCTTCTTTGATCTCTACTCTTTAAGAATTAAGGGTATGCCTTTTTTATATTTTCACGTCATTTTCAGTTTTCAATTTTCGAAAATACTGAAAACACGTTTACTTACCTATTTTCAAAGACGAATTTTCAAAAATGAGTTTAAAATTTACAAAGAAAAAGGAAAACGCTAAAAAGGTCGTTTTGGCATTTTTCAGTTATAACCAAGCCAAAACTTTATTTTTTATTTTTGAAAACAATTTTTCAAAATAACAAAAAGAACACGTCTTCAACAACCTCAAAATGAACACTCAAAATATGAAACACAAAATGAATTCAAAACTAAAAATTA